AAATAGCTGCTCTTCTAAGGAATAGATTCGTTGTAACTGAGGACACGATTTCCGAGAAAAACGGATTCCTAAAATTAATGTACGATACTTTTTGTTTATGTAAATTTAAGAAATAGAAGTCATTTTCCGTATTTCTATCCAGTTTATATGGAAACTCGAGTGAAAATTTGCCAGATTGAGAAATGTTGCAGAAACACATGGCGCGTTTCCACAACTTTTTTCAGTTCTTTCAAACTTTAACGACTGTTTTTGAGTTGAAGTTATAAGTCATCGAATTCGATAGAAATAGGGCTGACACTTCATGTTAAAGACCGCTAGAAAGTTGTTGTCTATGGGCTATGCTCCTGACTCTTAGAATAACGGATCTTACGGAGAAAGTTAAAAACTGGATATGTTCGCGTATGTTAATCAGCACCCGAGCCTCGCGTTCGAAGAGCAAACTTGTAAATGTCTTCATAAAACGAATTTCCGCAGGTGGAGAGGGGAGAGTGGAGAGTGGAGGATGGAGAGTAGAGGTTGGAGAGTGGAGGGTAGAGAGTGGAGAGTGGATATCAATGTACGTCACACCACGACATGGATTGAGTGCACGCTGAGGAAGAAATGGAACCAGGTGAAGGGTTGGTAAAAGGCTGATGCCGGCTGCGCTCACTAAGTTTACTCTCTGAAATGGTCTACGATCTTTATTTGCTTTTCAAAAGATAACTTGTTTTCCAGATTGCAAACAAAGAATTAAAAAAAATTCAGTGGGGGAAGTTTAGCTATTTCCAATATTTTTACCCACACAAAAGGCACAGATCATCAAATGTTATTACTAGCAAGAGAGCATGCAGGCTAAGTCTTACTCCACATGCTCTTTCTTCAAGAAAGTGCTCAAGAAATTTAATTATGAGCTCCTCAGAAATCAAGATCGAATAATGTAATTGTTTTGTAGAATTCTAACAAAATTTTTCCTTTAGTTAACCATTTCTAATTATTTCTCTACTTTGTATTGAACTTCACGCTTTAAAGAAATTGTGAGGACTCTGTTATTTTCCATCTCACTCGCACGCTCATCAATTTTTTCAGCAATTTCGAGTTTTGAAAGTCCAGAAACCGCGATTATCCTTCTATGACTCTTCTCTGAATTGAAATTATTCCTTTGTTTCTAAATGTTTCCTCGAAACTTCCGAGAAACGAGAAAACATCGCTGTTTCGTATACAGCCTGCAGCTACTGCCCATAATTAATGATTATTCCAGGAGCGCGGGTTGGATATGAGATGTTAGAACTATCTTGTATCCAACAAGCGCGAGTGGCATGATTGTTTTATTAAAAACATCCCCAAAATATAGAAAGCTAACATGAAATAACCAGTTTACCTCTGAGACTACTCGTGCTCACAAAGATCTGTCACGTGAGATCATGTAAGATCAAGTCCTCAAACCCTCAAGATTATCGCAGACTATATGGGATTACGCAATATATTGCACGATCCCACAAAAACAACCCAAGAAATCAGGGGTACGCTTACGATATTTGTAGAGCGTGGTACAATGGCTCATATACCATGATTGATGGCTAAGCCCATGAAAACTCTTGAATTGCATTATCCAGTGATCCAGTATCTAATAATGGCTGATAGTGTACGATATATACTGTAGCTCAGCCAATCAGATTGCAGCATTTGCATTCAGTTAGTACGCTAATAGAATTCCACTAATTTCATCAAGTCTGAACTGAACCTGCTTGAGATGCAAGAAAGTTATTGGCCATTCTAGAAGGTTGGGAAATTAAATCACGGCGAAAAAATTGAGAGAGCGCCTCAAATCTAACAAAGTGTAGAATTTGTGATGTCGATTGAACAAAGTATAATGACATAACGGTAAGCTTGCATAAATTCAACCAGTCTTTTCACGAAATCTGGACGAATTAAAATGAATGTAGGATTTTTCTTGTTGAAATATTTACACAATTTCCGCTTTACTCAATTCGATCGGCATTCGAATTTAAATTGCTTTTGGACGATTGGCGAGCTAGTATAATTTGCCGATAAATCACTCAGAATAATGTTATCATTTGGTGAAAGACAAGTCGAATTCCACGACAATTGTACAGCCCGGACGAACTATTAGTCCAAACAATGATAGGACAAAGTACAAGTTCATTATAGTAACGGCGACCGAAAAATTAAAACTGGCAGCAAATATCATGGTATGTGTTTCATTCTATCGCATGCCAGTGCAAGCAACAAGATGGATTACAGTGCGGTTTAAGGGAAAGAGCTAGTTTCTTTAAGGACGTTCGCGCGAAAATTTTCCAGCATTGATTTTTTTTTCTGAGACTTTTACCACTGTAAGATGATGAGTTAGTTATGTCAGAAATGTAAAAAATTTAACACGGTTTCCGCTCCAACCACTTCACAAGATCTTGATTTGAAATGGTTTGGACATAAGATGATAAGTCGAGTTGGTCTGATTGGTCGATAACACACCAGTAAAGTCAACATTTGGGAATAACTCAGTTAAAATACGCCACTTTAGACATATTAAAATTCAGCTTGATAGTGAGGCCAAGAGGACACAAACAAAAGAAATGAATAAACATGGTCATTCAATTTCCTTTGTTTGTGTCCTCTAATCCTCACTGCCAAGCTAAATTTTAATATATCGAAAACGGTCTATTGAATAACGGTCAACTTAAATATTGAATAATGAACTAAACTGATCAAACAAGCTTATTGGTCGGTTTTCTAGCTTGTGTGAATCAGTTGCCACTTCACACGGCAGGTGAAGATTTATCGGAAGCCGTGGACTGTAAAAGTAACGAGGAACACAGTTTAGCGTAAATAAAACAAGTCAAACAACATATCACACAAAAGCGATATTAAGCTTCTTACGTCAAGGCTTGATCAAAGAAGGCTTTTTGCATTGTATTTCGTAAATTTTCAAGCTTTAAGAAAACAGTGTCATCGTCCCGAATGTCCTAAAATGCTATTCCCTTATTTGAAACTGATGTCGTTTACATGTTTCGGGAAGCATGTAAAATTGAGAAAATTGAGCACAAAAACTATTCGGCAGTTAATGTTTCCGCTCATTCTTGTATCTTAACTGTGCTGCTATATAAAAGATGAAATAAAAGGAGATTAATTTGTCAACACTTGGGAAAATCGCGCTTGGCCACGGGCGTTCTCGCGTTGACTTTGTCATGAGTTGCTCATGTCGGAAACCAATGTAAGAAAAAGCTTGGGCCATCGATTTGCGGAGATATGATCACACGTTTACGCTAAAAATCGGCCTTCGTCACTGTATATTGTTTAAATGTCTGTTAATCTAAAATACTGGAAAGAAAATCCCTAAAATGGTACTTTATCTCTCACTCAGATCAATATGCATCAAAGGAACAGGTAAATCCACTGTAGGTAAGGATTCATCGATTTCTTTGATGCGCTTTTATCGAAGTTACCTTGGATCGTTGATGCTAATCCAGATCATTGCAAAGGAGCGCATCCTTATTATCAGCATTCTTCTTTCAAGCAGACTGATGGACTGACTGACGGACTGACGTACTGACGGACTGACTGATAGCTGACCATGTAATCACATTCTCAAAATCTCGCACGCACTTTCAGTCGATAAATTTGTTGCAAAAAAAGCCACATTTAATCAGTATTATTGCCTATTGTAGATTGTATGTCATGTGTTCAGGTACGAGTTTCATTTGGACCAAGGCTATACTTTCAATTCCCAGGTAAGCATGTAAGATTGAGTATTTCTCATCTAAGTGATGACAAGAAATCCGTGGCTTTGCATTGTTGAACTTAGCTCTGCGGCTGACCTGTAAATGTAGACCGCCTTCTTCCGAAACTCGTTCCCAGGCTCCCTTCTGCCTCCACTTGTCAAACGACCAGTGGAGGCGGAGGAGAGACAGGCTGGGAATGAGGTTGCCTTCTTCCCTGTACTGGGAGGCGCCGGAACACTAGTACAAAAGTAATGAGAGTGTCGGAATTGCAAGAAGACCATAAACGGTGTTAAAAGCTGGTTTTTTGTTGTGGTTACCCGATTTTATTTTTACCTTCAAAAGGGGTATTACATTGGCTTTTAAGTTTCGAGTAATTTAAGGACGTTCGCACGAATTGTTTGTGCGCATTCTTACCGCGCACGCAAAGTCACACGCCACGTCATGCATCGAACGCACGCCAAGTAATAAAATGAACAGTGATTTTAAACTTAACAAATATTTAGAGGTCGTAAGACTGGCGTAACTTTGTTTTTGTTGTTGTCATTTGACCTTCACCTCTTTGTTGTTTTATTTTCATTGACGTTCATCTCTCTGTTCGTTTTGGTTTTTGGTTAACAGCTTGTCGATGTAGCCAACAAGCTCGGTCCGTCGTTACAAGTCGGAGAAAGTCTAGTGTGGGAAGGAGGTAACGCTGGCCAGCAGCCATCGCGGGCTTCACAGCCGGATTCTCAAAGCCCTTCAGCACCAGCTTCTGTGGCAAGCAGCAGCGCCTCTTTCCAAGACGATGGATCTTTTGTATAAATAATAAAAAATAGCTGCTCTTGTAAGGAATAGATTCATTGTAGCTAAGGATGCGATTTCCGAGAAAAACTGATTCCTAATGTACGACACTTTTTGTTTATGTAAATTTAAGAAATAGAAGTCATTTTCCGTATTTCTATCCAGTTTATATGGAAACACGAGTGAAAATTTGCCAGATTGAGAAATG